CTTCTCTTTTGCTGGATTGGAGCATCTAGCTGGAGATGGTACAAATACCCCAGATGGAGTCTTTGACTCCCCTGGGAAGAAGGTCCTGGAGAAAGGTTTCAACACTGTCAGCCATGTCTTCACTACCCAAACTATCAACTGTGCAGAGGAGATAGAAGTGCCCCCAAATCTCTCTTCATGAAGGACCCCGCAGTTCTACCACCACAGCTCCAGCCTGGCCCCTCACCCACCACCACAGTCCCAGTTGACTCCTCTGTCAAGCAGCCCGCTCCACCGGGGCACTCCCAGGGCTGGGGTGCTCTGCCCACACTGGCCATGCCTGGGCTGCAGACATGGGGAGATTTTTTTAAATGCAATTCTCTACCCCATTTCAAACCGATTAAATCGGAATCTTGTAGGTGGTGCTTAGGCACTGGGTTTTTGCAAAGCTCCCTAAGTGGTCCTTCCATGCATTAAAGTTGAGAAGCACTGCTCTAAATTTGTTTTGACCCCGTGGAAAGGTTTCCAACTGATTTCTTACGAAAAAAGTAGTAGAAGCCTCTTCTTTAGTTTGTACCAACAAGATTACAAGGTTGGCCTCTGCCTGACTGGAGGGTGGGGCCATACAAAAAACTGCTCCACCCCCAGTTATCTTTGGCCCCGAGGCTGGCCAATGGTTCCACTGGTTTCAGCTTCCTTCTCCTCTGCCTTGGGATTTTAGAGCCCACAGCTTCCAGCATGACCTGCTAGTTGCTGTCAAGGAGATAACGTTAACCCCGTTATGTGCCGTTTGCTTCTCAGTCTCTCCTCCTTGAGACTATCAGGGATCCTAGAGATGGAGTAGAAATTGTAAATAAAAGTTTCCATCCAGACCAGTGCCTCTCAGACTTGAAGGTACATACAAATCACCTGGCAAGCCTGTTAAAAAGAAGATTCTGATACTGTGGGACTAGGGTAGGGCCTGAGAGCCTGCATTTCATCTTATTATTAGTGTTATTATCTTTTTAAAATTTTATTTTTCATCCTCAATGTGTCACAACAAGCCTGTATTTCTAACAAGCTCCCAGGTGGTGGAGAGCTGTTAGTCTGAGGGCCACGCTTGGAGAAACGAGGACCAAATCTCTTCTTTCTCCCATCGACATTAAAGATTGTTAAGAACCAGACAGGGCACAGTGGCTCACACCTATAATCCCAGCACTTTGGAAGGCCAAGATGGGTGGATCACTTGAGCTCAGGAGTTCAAGACCAGCCTGGGCAACATGGCGAAACCTCATCTCTACATAAAATACAAAATTTAGCCAGGCATAGGGGCACATGCCTGTAGTCCCAACTACTGGAGGGGCTAAGCTGGGAGGATCGCTTGGGCCCAGTAGGTCAAGGCTGCAGTGAGCCACGATTGTACCACTGCACTCCAGCCTGGGCAACAGAGTGAGACCCTATCTCAAAAAAAAAAAAAAAAAAAAAAAAAAAAAAAGGTCTGAGGGCCACGCTTGAGAAACGAGGACCAAACCTCTTCTTTCCCATCGACATTAAAGATTGTTAAGAACCAGACAGGGCAGGCTCACACCTATAATCCCAGCACTTTGGGAGGCCAAGATGGGTGGATCACTTGAGCCCAGGAGTTCAAGACCAGCCTGGGCAACATGGCGAAACCTCATCTCTACATAAAATAAGCAAAAATTTAGCCAGGCATAGGGGCACATGCCTGTAGTCCCAACTACTGGAGGGGCTAAGCTGGGAGGATCGCTTGGGCCCAGTAGGTCAAGGCTGCAGTGAGTCATGACTGTGCCACTGTACTCCAGCCTGGGCAACAGAGTGAGACCCTATCTCAAAAAAAAAAAAAAAAAAAAAAAAAGGATTGTTAGTGGGAACCAGGGATGGGAAAAGACTGGACCCTATAAACGTAGCCCAAGATAGAGAAAGAGTGGTGCTGCTTTCCTCTCAGTTGGTTAAGCATGGGTGACAGAGGCATGATTGGCGGTTCCAGCAGGAACTTCTGGTGAGATTTCATCTCCTGTGGATAGGTTTGCCTTGAGAACAAGGTGAGGGACATTGGGGATAGGAGGCCAGAAAAGAGGGTGTGAACCAGAGCAGGGAGAGGCTTTGGTGTCATGCTTCAGAGTTCTGAAGTTTCTTGTTTGTGACAGAGAAATGCCATTGAGCCTAAAGTTTGGAGTGGGCAAGCTTTTTTTTTTTTTTTTTCTGAGGCGGAGTTTCACTCTTGTCACCCAGGCTGGAGTGCAGTCGTGCAATCTCGGCTCACTGCAACCTCCACCTCCCGACCCGAGTTCAAGCAATTCCCCTGTCTCAGCCTCCCAAGTAGCTGGGATTACAGGCACCTGCCACCATGCCCGCCTGTTTTGTATTTTTAGTAGAGATGGAGTTTCACCATGTTGACCAGGCTGGTCTCGAACTTCTAACCTCAGGTGATCTGCCCATCTCGGCGTCCCAAAGTGCTGGGATTAAGGTGTGAGCCACTGCGCCTGGCCCAAACTATTTTTAAAAAGTTATTATTGTGCTGGGCTCTGTGGTGCCACTGTAGTCAGCTAGCACTCAGAAGCTACTCAGAGGCTGAGGCAGGAGGAGCTCTTGAACTCAGGAGTCCGAAACCAGCCTGGGTGACATAGTAGGACCCTGTCTTTACAAAAAAATTTAAAGAAAAAGAGAAGGTCATATTATTGTATCCACGGTCAACTCTGAAAGCCTTTTTATTGTTAGCATTTAAGCAACTGCTTAATGAGAAAGTGAGAAGGAGCTATACCATCTTATATGTGATCAAAATGCTTTGTTTCTTCCAGCCAGCATAACTCTTGAACCAGTTTTTATAGTGAGGAGACCAAATAACCTTTTGACAAAAAAGAAAGGAAAACCCCCAAAGCATTGGCAAATCATTTCCAAGTAGGCATTTCTGGTCAGATTTCAAGTACGCTCACCTAGAACTATCTCTAGGCAGCAGAGCAATTCTGGTGTCTGCAGATACCTCAAGACCTTGGCCTTTGTTCATTGCTCATCTATCCTGAGGCATCGGGAAATCCATACCACAGAGAACTCTATGTAGGTGAGGAGCATAAGAAAGCTCTCAGTCAAATTTCAAGCCTCGGTCAGCATCAGAAACTCCACACTGGGGAGAACCTGCAGTGAGTGCGGGTAAGCCTTCTCCCTCCACTCCACCCCTGCTGCTCACCCAACAATGCAGTCACTCAGAGGAGGCTATACCTGTTCTGGTTATAGGAGGTCTTTAGAGTGGATTTCAGGCCTTAGGAAAGGTCAGAAATCATGCACTGGAGTGAAATTCTATGTGTGTAGTGAAGGTGGGAAAATGTTCATTCATTCTGAGTTCTGCTCTTGGTGCCCACCAGCAAATCCCCCTGGGAAGAAGCACTCAGTGCAGTGACTGTGGGAAAGCTTTTCTCTGGGTCAGAGGTCTCCTCTCACATCACAGAAGCCACAGTAGGGAGAAGCCTGCAGGGAGAGTGGCAAAGCCATAACCCACTGCTTCCTTAGGGTTTCTCCCAGTGTGGATTCCTTGTCAGGTTTCTGCTCCAGTGGAGGTTTTCCCACACGCCCCACATTCACATGTTTGTCTCCGGTGTGGTCGCTGATGCAGGCACAGCCTCTGGTGCCCACTTCAGCCTTTCCCATAGTCAATGCCCCTCAAAGGGCTTCTCCAGCCCTGCCCTGAGTTGCACCATGAGGCCCCTTGCCCTATTGAACACTCCCTGATGTAGACTCTTCGATGGGCAGCAAGGGCTGAGCTCCAGGTTGAAACTTTCCCATGCTCATTACATACATAGGATTTTTCTTCAGTGTGCACTTGCTGATGTTGCCTAAGATCTGAAATCTGGCTGAAAGATTTTCCACAGCTGGGCAAATCTTCCTGGGGAGTCTAACCCCAGAATGTCTCCTTTGGTGGGCCATAAGGGATAGAGCTCAGAGTGAAGGCCTTCCCACACTCACATTGACAGAACCTTACCCCACTGAATTCTCTCTCGATGATGAAAAGCTGAATACAGAGGGAACTCTACCACATTCATCATATTTATGGCTTTCCGTTCTGTGGAAACCTTGTGATGTTTAATTAAGTTGGAGCTGGAACTGAATCTTTGTCCAAATCTCTTATATTTCTGGCCTCCCTAACTTGTGGAGGATTTTTGTTTTTAATCCTTAGTTGTTTTCATATGAGATCTCTTGCTACTTATGTTCTTTCCTAAAGGATTTTCCCGTATCTTTTCTAAGTTGTTTTTCATTTCACAGGCTGCTCCAGATTCAAATATCTGTTTTTCCCCGATATTAATGTCAGTGAATTTATCATCATATTCTGAACCAGAATCAACATCTTGCTCTGAGTTCTGTCCTAACCCTCTGCCAATAATAGAAAAGGCAAACACCAGAGACATATAGTAGAGTTACTAGAACACTAGTGGGGCCCTTTGAAAGAGTAAGTCAGAGACCATTCTGAGACTCTGTGCAGAGAAGATGGAATGAATGGAATCTGTCTTGAGAGCACACCAAGGAGATGGGGTCAGCAAACCAACTACAAGGAATCGAACTCTTGGGTAGCAAACAAGGGAAGGCTAGCAAGTGATGAGGGAAAGCCAAGATAGGAACTCTCACAGTAGAGAACTGTACGGGGAGGAAAACTCTGTTTTATCTTCCTGATGAGAAAGCTTACTTTGACAACTGCCCTTCCCACCCCCTTTCTAAAGTTCCCCAGCAAAAGAGGGGCCGTTGCTAATTGGATGAGTCAGAGTCCCAGACGTCACCAGGCCAACCTTATTTAGTAGACATGATAAATGTTGGTTTTAAAGCTGGGACCCTTGTTGCCCTCTCTTTGTGTGACTTTGTTCTTCTACTATGGGACAGGGCAGAGGGTAAAAGCCTGAGATTTGGTTGCAGCCTCCAGAGGGCAGTAGAAGTCTTACTTGAGTCTGATTGAAAAAGCAGGACAGCCTACACTGACCTTCATGGTTTCTTGGTATGATTATTAATGACAGACCCTTTCACTCATTTTTATTCTACAGAGTTTCCCAGTTTGGACAATAAAGTATGGTCATCCGAGAGCCATGTCATTAAACTGATCTTCAGCAGAGGGCCTGAATTAGGGAAACAGGTGACAACTGTTAACAATGAGACACAGTTGGTAAGTTCCATTTCCTAACAGGCTACTGTTCTTTGCATGGATCTCCTTTGGGAATTCAGCACGGAAGAAGTGGGACTGGCAGAGCAGGAGTCAATCTTCCTGGATCCTTGGTCAGAATATTCCGTTTCTAATACAGGACAAGAGGAGTGATTCTCTGTTGGACTGGGAGGCCCAATAATTAAATTGGGGCAAGGGATGGAAATAAGAACATTCAAGGCCAGGCGTGGTGGCTCATGCCTGTAATCCCAGCACTTTGGGAGGCCGAGGCAGGTGGATCACCTGAACACAAGAATTTGAGACAAGCATGGCCAACATGGTGAAACCCCGCCTCTACTAAAAATACAAAAATTAGCTATTCGGGAGGCTGAGGCAGGAGAATCACTTGAACCTGGGAGGCGGAGGTTGCAGTGAGCCTAGATTGCACCACTGTACTCCAGCCCGGGAGGCAGAGTGAGACAATGTCTCAGAAAAAAAAAAAAAAAAAATTCAAAAGGAATACAGTCTTTGAAAGAATGAGAAACAATGCTTTCAATGGGGAGAGGCTAGAGGCCATGAAGAGGGAGCTATCTCTGTGTCCTAAACCAGAACCCTCTGCATGTGAGGTGGGCCCAGAAAAGATGAAGGAGACTCTAGAAAGAACCAGTGTGCCTACGGGTATAAGCCTACTAAGTCTCCCTGTTCCTGATTTTTCCACTCAATTTTTACTGCACCAAAGAGCAGACAAGGAGGAATATAGGAGAGAAAGCATGGGACATAAAAGACACTAATATAGTCTTACAGAGTCCGAGTCTATCCTTAATCACAATGTATGCAAACATATTATGTTCCTTATTAAAAGGAAGTAGGGAGACAGAGAAGAAGGGGGGAGACTTTTTACAAGAGACTTACCTATAATAAAACCAAACAATAGAAAAGGTTGAAAAGAAAGGAAAGGAAAAGCGTATACCAAGCAAGTTCTAACAAGAGAAAAAGCTGTGTAGAAACAAAATAGGCTCTAAGGCTAAGTCTTTAATGGCCATAGAATGGAATATTTCTTATTGATAAAAAATGAACAATCAATCCCTAAGTTGTTGAACAATATCCATGTCAGGAAACCGAGAAGTTACTCTTTTTTTTTTTTTTGTTTTGGTTTTTCTCTCTTTTTGCCCGGGGTAGTGCAATATGGCAATCTTTTGGTTCTCCAACCTCCTCTGCCTCCTGAGTTCAAGCGATTCTCCTGCCTCAGCCTCCCAAGTAACTGAGATTACAGACATGCACCACCATGCCTGGCTAATTTTGTATTTTTAGTAGAGATGAGGTTTCACCATGTTGGCCAGGCTGGTCTCCTGACCTCAAGTGATCCACCTGCCTCGGCCTCCCAAAGTGCTGGGATTATAGGCCTGAACCACCGTACCCAGTCTAGAAGTTGCTCTTAATTCTCCACCCTCTCACATCTAAAACATTAGCAAGTCCAGTTTATTTTTCTTCCAAAATACATTGTAAATCCACCCATTTCTTTCCATCTCCACAGCACCTCACCCCTGGTCCTGGCCACCATCTTTTCTCAAATGTACTCCTGCAATGCTGCCCTAATTGGCCTCCTGACACTGAAATTAATCTCCCCCCGGCAACTTCAAATTGGTTAACCTGGCCAACATGGTCTTCAGCAGGCAGGCCTCTGCCCAACTCTGACTGCACCTCTGACATTGTGACTGTCATCCAGGCACAGTGGCCTCCCTTCTGTCACCTGATCAGCCCAATCAGTTACATCTTGAGCCTTTGCAGCAACTTTTTCCTCTGCATATAATGCTCCTCTTTCACACCTTCAGGGGTATAGCAGTCCTTTAAAATTCAATTTTTAGTTTAAATGGCACCCTCTAAGAGAGGAGGATGAAAATTCTCAATACTTGTTAATATAGAAGCTTAAGAATTACTGTAATTGTCTTCCAACCTATTTGTTACCTTTATAAATAATCATCTGATGACATAGACTACTAACATTAATCTGTGAAATGTTGAATTATGATGAAAACAGAACTGAGAGGCTGGGCACGGTGGCTAATGCCTGTAATCCCAGCACTTTAGGAGACTGAGGCGGGAAGATTACTTGAGGCCAGAAGTTTGAGACCAGTCTGGGCAACATAGTGAGACCCCTGTCTCTACAAAAAAAAAATACAAAAATCAGCTGGACATGATGGCACACGCCTATAGTCCTAGCTACTCAGAAAGCTGAGGAGGGAAGATGGCTTGAGCCCAGGAGGTAGAGGATGCAGTAAGTGATGATTGCACCACTGTACTCCAGCCTGGGTGACAGAGTGAGACCCTGTCTCAGAGACAGTGAGAGCAAATGGGGGTCAGGGGGAACACTAAGGATTCTCCTTCAAATAGTACAATTTATTTCTTTTTTGTTTTTTTTTGAGACAGAGTCTCGCTCTGTCGCCTACGCTGTAGGGCAGTGGTGCGATCTCAGCTCACTGCAACCTCTGCTTCCCGCGTTCAAGCAATTCTTCTGCCTCCCAAGTAGCCTCCCAGGTAGCTGGGATTACAGGCATGAGCCACCACACCCGCCTAAATTTTGAATAAAACAAGTATAGTTACTTGTTTTATGTCCACTAGATGGCGCTTCTATCCTGGTGTATCCTGTTCGTGACTCTTTTTCAGAACCCTGGACAGTGCCTGGTGTACAGTAAATGTTCAGTAACTATTGAATGATTTGTCATAAACTTACATACACCCTGAACCTATCAGCACAGCTTTAAAATATATAAGGCAAATTAGTCTACAAAACGATATAGACGAGTGTGAGACCAACCCACACCCCTTAGAAACATACTAGGAAAACCCAAAACAACAAAGAACTGTTTAAATGCAAAAGTAGAATGAGTGCTTTTACCATCTGTATTTCTGAATTATTTTTTCACAATTAATATGTATTACTTTGATAAATGAGATTACATTTTGCTTTATGTTCCCTTCTCAAATTGTAAAGTCTTTTAGTATGGTTCTACGGAACTCATCAAACCTGTTCAGGGGTGTTAAGTGCACACCAAGATTAAAGGTGACAGGAAGGTGCATAACATTAGGATTGTATTTAGGGTTATTCTTTTTTTTTTTTTTTTTTTTGGAGTCTTGCTCTGTCACCCAGACTGGAGTGCACTGGCATGATCTCGGCTCACTGTAACCTCCACCTCCCAGGTTCAAGTGATTCTTCTGCCTCGGCCTCCCAAGTAGCTGGGATTATAAACTTGCACCACCATGCCCAGCTAATTTTTGTACTTTCAGTAGAGATGGGGTTTCACCATGTTGGCCAGGCTGGTCTCGAACGCCTGACTTCAGGTGATCCACCAACCTTGGCCTCCCAAAGTGCTGGGATTACAGGTGTGAGCTACCACGCCCTGCCTGTTTAGGGTTATTCTAAAAATCATAACTTCTTGGACGTAAAAAAGTTCTATACATGGCTAGTAACCCCTTCTGCAGCTGAAACTGGCTGCAAATCCCCTTCTGTCACCCAGAGTGACCAGAATTGTATTCTGTGAGGGGCAGGGTTCACTGGCATGAATTCTGGCACAGAATTCATGCCAGGCTGAATTCTGTCCCTGCAGTGGAGGCTACTCTACAATAAAGTGACAGGAAGATCAGACTTAAATGCCCTGCAGAGCTCCATTTCTCCCACCATCTGGTTTTGTAAGGAAAAAAAAGTGTCTGTGTGCTTCTATGTATTTTTTTTTTTTAGCACTCCTTAATTTAAATGTCTATAAAAAAAAGACCAAAGCTTAACTGGTTATCTTTGAAATATAATTTCTTTTTTTCTTCTTTTACTTACTTATATTTTCTTATATTTCTACAATAATAAGTCCAAATTAGGTGGCAAAGAAATGATATAAAAGAAGCATGGTATCTGCCAAATCAAATTCTCTGGATGAGCTAATGCCCACCCAAGGGGCAAGTTGAGGAAAGGAGGGTGCTGTTGACTTCTGGTCCATTTCTAATCTGTCCTGAGCATTGGTAAGGCCAGGGGCTGGACAGTGGGCTATTGGAGTGGACTCCAGTCTCAGGCCAATGTACTCAGTACTTCCATCAGGAGAGTGGGTGGCAACTGGCCCCTCCATCCACAGTAACTTTTGGGCAGCTACTCTGACCACTGTGGGAAAGAGTTTCTGGGGTGCCAGTTGAGTTGGTCTCCCCTGTGTGAGACACCCATGGGGAGCCATGGGCGGCCTCTACAGAGAAAAGTCTCCTTATTGCCTTCATGTTTTTATGCCCTGGGAGCATAACCATTCAGTGGCATTCCACAAGTTGCTCAAGGAGATAACACTCCCTTGAAGCAGTGGGGCATAATCAAACATCTTGGCTCCTCCTGAAACCTGCTCCCACCTGTTTCAGTCCCGATAAGTTAAAGATCTTAAGTAGTTTAGACACACGCCTTTGCTCAAGGAAATTCACAGAAACCACCACTGCTGTACATCTTATTGAATGACTCACGAGTTCTCCTTCACTGATTAATCATTTTCCTCATCCCTTCCTACCCCTCCCATCTGCCCTAAGAACAAAGAGCTTGTAAACCAATAAATTAGGCAGAGCCCGAGAGCTCTGGGCTGTGAGCAAGCCTCCGACACTACCACTCCCGTCCCCTGGACCCGCCTTTTAAACACTTATTCTGTCTCTTTCTAACTCCTTTTTCTCCGTTGGACTCGGGGTACCCGCAAGGTGGTGTGGGGCTGGTTTCCCCAACAATCACTGTAACAGATAAGGAAACATAAATATGCTTTCTCATAACTTGTCATCTGCACTAGATTTAACAGCAGCACCAGTGATTCTGCAGTGCCCTCCAAGCACTGGAGCAGGCCAACGTTAGGCATTTCTACAAACCCCAAACCTCATTTCCTTTGTTCCCTCTCTTGACTCCACCCAGGGGTGCTTCTGTTTGAGGACTCATGGGGGAGCCAAATAAAGAACATATTGGGCCCGTATTTTTAAATTATTTTCCTTATGATGTTATTGCAAATCACAGACAATCTTCCTGGGGATAATCCAAAATGTTCATTGCTTTTCTTTCTAGTGTGGGCAAACTAAATTTCTGTGATTGAGACCAGGACAATTTGGTCTCAATAGATGTTCCCTTCCAATAGGCCTGGTAGATGTGAATTAATGTCAAACTGACTGAACTGCCCTCCCTCCAGCTGCCCCTGGCCAGACCAAGCAGCTACAAACGTGCTTCCAGGAGGAGTGGGACTTCCTCCCATCCTTTTCACTTGGGTTCTTCCTTGCCCCCTCTTCTACTTTACTCCCAGTTGGACAGAACCACTCACCCCCAAGCCCCACAACAGTGGAACCCTCCCAGGCCAACCCCTTTAGGCCTGGCACCAGCCCAACCAGCATTCATGCACATCACCCTGCTGGCCCACTAAAAACATTGCCCCCTCTCTCTGGGAAGCTGGGAGATCTTCAGGGCTCTTTGGTCTTCTAACTTCAAGATCTTAAAAGCATGGTTGCTGTATCCATTGCAATAGCTGAGTGAAATTGGCATGGAGTTCATCTGCCTGCAGACACAAGGGAAACTGAAAAGAACCAACATTTGTTGAGAATCTTACTGTGCACCTTGCATTGTGTTTGGTTCCTTGGCATTGCTATCCCATTTATTCCTCATGGCCACCTAAGGATAGCTATGCCCATTTTGCAGATAGCAGAAACTGAGGCTCAGAGAGATGACTCCCCACGCCCAAGATCACACACTTCCTAATATTAGGAAAAGTTACATTAGGAGTTACAGCGTCGAGAAATGATCCTGTAAAGATGCATTATAGTTTCTCCTCCAGAGGAAAGTTTTCTGGGGATTCTTTAGTCCCATTATTGCTGGGTCCCTGACATCTTCCAAGTCCAGCTTGTGCCTAGTCATTGTGGCTGGACAGCCCTGCTGGTTGTTCTTATTTACTAGAATCATCCCAGAAATGGTGACATTACTATGTGGTCTAAACATTGCCAGCTCCACACAAAGGTGCCATGGCTCAGCCAACACATTGGAAGGGCCTGCTTCACTCCTTAGCTGCTGTTATCACCCAGAGGCAGTAACTTCTCTCATAACCTTGGGGCTAGAGCAGCTTTCCCAGGAAAAGCATATGACACCAAAACTCCTCTTTCACCACCTTCCCAATGCTTCTAGATTCTCTTTTTATTCCACCTACACAGAAACCATGTGGGAGATCAGAAGCCTTCAGTGACCTTTGGCCACATCTCCACATCTTTTCAAAAATCTCATAAGGATGGTTGTATTAGTCAAGGTTCTCCAGAGAAACAGAATAAACAGAAGATTAGATGAAGATATAGATGCACCAAGAGAAATTTATTTTAAGAAGTTGGTTCATGCAATTATGGAGGCTAAATCTCACGATCTGCCAACTGCAAGCTGGAGACCCAGGTAAGCTGGTGGCATAGTTTGAAGGCCAGAAAACCACGGAGCCAATGGTGTGGATTCCAGTTTGAGTCTGAAGGTTCAAGTACCAGGAGTGCCAAGGGAGGGAGAAGATCAATATCTCAACTCAAGCAGTCAGGCAGAGCAAGAACTCAACCTTCCTGTGCCTTTTTGTTCTTTCTATTGAGGCCCTCAGTGGATCATGCCCACCCACACTGGGGAGGGCCATCTGCTTTATTTAGCCCACCAATTCAAGTTCTAATCTCTCACAGACACATCCAGAAGTAATGTTGAACCAGATATCTGGGCACCCTCTGCCTAGTAAAGTTGACACGTAAAATTAACCACCACAATGATGGTAGATTAGTTTCCAAAATTCAACAAGGTCTTACATCTTCACCACTCCTGACCTATAAGTTAGCCCTAAACAATGAACCCCTTCCTTTTTTTATGATATTGAAAATTACATTGTGATATCCTACCTTGTTTTAACCTGACTGACTCTCTCTTAGCTGAGAGAGCCAGACAGATTCCATTTTGGTTTCTTTGCTTGCAGCCCCTTGCCCCCCTCCCTTAAGGACATAACTGGTGCAAGCTGACTCCAAGCACATCCAGCAATGCGCTTTCTGATAAGATACTGAGGCAAGCTGTACCAGCAGTTCCTGAGAATGCACTCGGTTGGTGGTACCCAAAGCCCCTGCGTTTATCTCTTTGTGATAATTTAAGCCCCTACACCTGGAACTGTTTATGTTCCTGTAACTGTTTCTGTAACCATTTATCTTTTAACTTTTTGCCTGAAAAAAAAAAAAAAAATTGTTTCAGCTAGACTCCTCCTCCCCTATTTAGACCAAGGTATAAAAAGAAATCTAGCCCCTTCTTCAGGGCAGAGAGAATTTCAAGCTCTAGCCGTCTCTCGGTCGCTGGCAATAAAGAACTACTGAATTAGACTCAGAGTGTGGTGTTCTCTCTATAACTCGCTCGGTTACAACATTTGGAGTCACCAGCGAGATCTACCACTGGGTGAGGGCCGAACTCGTTCCCGGCTCCCCCGGACAGATGGCGGGCTTATAGGGAAGGTGCCACCTGAAGACATTCCAGGGCCCCATAGGCCACCATCTTCCAGAGGGGAACGGATCAACTGCTGGCACGCCCAACCAAATTCAACTCCTGAGTCCTCAGTCTCTGGTCCCGGGAAGGTAAGTCAGATCTGACTCTGTCTTTCTGGGAAGGAAACGGCCCTGATGAGGGTCCTCCCTCAGACTCTGTCCACATGCCAGGATGCTGTAGGACAGATTCCTGGTTTCTGTCAAGATTCTCTGTTAAGTCTAGTCTCTCTCTATCTCTATATCTTCTCCCTCTCATTCAGGTCTCCAGGAGAACTCTGTTTTAGAATGGGTATAAAAACTGTAATAAACTCTGAGTGAGCGAGTGAGTGAGTGAGTGAATGGAGTTCAAGGGCTTGCGCTTGAATTTCCAGTTTGTAGCTCCACAGTGAAAGCCACGGAGTTTGAGAGGGCCCTCACCTGTGGTTCTGTGGCAACCTCATAAGGCTTAGGGCAGCATCGGGCATATCTCGATCCGAGCCAGGGGTTTATACCGGCCTGCCAATGCCAAGAGGAGCCTAAGTCCCCATGAGGGGAGCGGCCAGGCGGGCATCTGACTTATCCCATCACGGGACCACCCCCCCGCCCCCTTTGTCTGTCTATAAAAATTGCCATACTTGTTTATATACCACAGTGTCTATTGTCCTGTTTGGTGTTTGTCTAAATTTCGTATGTCAGGTCGTTGATACTGCCCAAGACGACTGGGCAAGGACTTCTTCAAGCTCCTTATACAGATTTTCTATCCCAGGAGGTCAAATTCCTCATTAGTCAGTTGGGCTGGCCATCCCAGTCCTGACTTTTCTGTCAGAAACAAATCAGGTGTTGTTATGGGGAAGGGTGTGGAAGACATTCGTCCGTTAGGGATTTCTGGCACCATAAAGATTGCTGGCATTTGGATTGCCACACCTCACGCCCCCAGTGACTGGTCCACCTCCTCCTTAGACCAGTGGTGGATTCAAAATAGCCACCCTGCTGACCTCCTTGCTCACCTTTTCTGTCATCCTGTAACTTTTCCCATGCCCTTAAATAAGGCACCGTGAAGAGAAACCTATGCCCATACTGCTCTACTCCATCTGGACTCTTATTTTACCCCTCCATGGCTACTCTCCAACCTTTGGGAAGAGCTGAGTGGCCCCTTTCCTCCTCATCCTCATCCCTTACCCCACACATCTCTTTTTACCGTGTTGCAGCAAGTCCAGCGCCTCCAAGACTTGGCTCTGTTCTTCCTCCTTAAACCCTTGAAGGAAAGGGCCGAGTTTGAACTTTTTGCCTTCAAGTCATGGAGACACCAAAAATATTTGGGTTATAAGTCAAGAATGAGGGGGACATCACTTAGGTCCCACTGGCCGAGGATCCCTCAGACCCACCTCTTTTCCTCTCCCTAGATCTCGAAGCTTGAGGAGACAGGACTTATGTGGCAAGAAGCGTTGGCTATAGTTGTTTTCCTACCTCTTCTAGCTATAATACTTCTGTTCTTCTGATACTATAGCCCCCCAGGCCATGAATATCTCTGTCCGTGCTGGGTTTAATATTTTTGTTCAAACCTTGTTAATTGCCTCCAGAATTGGAAACTCTTCTTCCCAGCCCCGTAAAGATTGGAGCCCTCTCCAATGTATGTTGCAGAATTTCTCTCTAGGCTTCTCAGATGATTGTGGGGTCCGCCTTAAAAAAGGCAAACTCCGGACACTCTGTGAAGTAGAATGGTCACAGTTCAGAACCAAGTGGCTCCCAGAAGGGTCACAAAACCTCACAGCTGTTCAGGCTGTGTGGCAGGTCGTTGCTGGAACTCCCGGTCATCCCAATCAATTTCCCTACATTGATCAATGGCTAGATTTAGTCCGGAGCTCTCCTCCATGGTTCCACTCATGCGCCATTCATGATCCTACCTCCAAGGTCCTTTTAAGCCAGACCTGACTTTTGCCCCAACCCTCAGCTCCCTCGGCTCCTCCTGTACTACCCCCTTCTGAAGAAGGGGAAAGTTTCCTTCACCCATTTCCGCTGCCCTATAACCCTCCTCTTCCCCCAGAATCTTCCCTTGTCTCCTCAACTACATCCCCTGTGGCCTCTCCACCTATATCCTCCTGATTACAGCCTCAACCAGAGGAGGCAGCCCCCCTTCTCCCTCTGAGAGCAGCCCAAATCCCTCCAGGCAGTGAGCGCTCTGCTCCATTTTTAGTTTATGTCCCCTTCTCTACTTCTGACCTGTACAACTGCAAGGCTCATAATCCCCCTTTTCTGAAAAGCCCCAGGTCTTAACCTCACTGATGGAGTCCGTGCTCTGGAGTCATCAGCCCACCTGGGATGACTGTCAGCAACTCCTTTTAACCCTTCTCACCTCTGAAGAGAGGGACCATATCCGAAGAGAAGCCAGAAAGTATTTCCTTACATCAGCCGGTAGACCAGAGGAGGAAGCCCAAGACCTCCTTGAGGATTGGGCTGATTGGGATCCAGACCCCTGGGGTGGGAAGAGAGCTTTGGATGATTTTCATTGGTATCTCCTTGTGGGTATCAAGGAAGCCACTCAAAAACCTATGAATCTGTCTAAGAACACTGAAGTTGTCCAAGGGCCTGCTGAGTTACCAGGAGCGTTTTTAGAACAACTCCAAGAGGCCTATCGTACTTATACCCCTTTTGACCCAGCGGCTCCTGAAAATAGCTGTGCTATTAATTTGGCATTTGTGGCTCAGGCAGCCCCTGATATTAGTAAAAAATTACAAAAGTTGGAGGAATTTGCTGGAATGAACATCAGCCAGCTTTTAGAGATAGCCCAGAGAGTTTTCGACAATCGAGAATTTGAGGCAGCTCAGGGAGCTGAAAGGGCCGCAGACAAAGCATCAAAAAGACAGGCAAAAATCTTAGTGGCTGCCGTCCAAGGAGCCAAAAATGTAGGGCCCCCATCACAGACCACTGGCCAGGGGACCCCGAGTCCCCACCAAGAATGCCAGAAAGGTGAGCAGGCTCCCCTACGAAGAAACCAATGCACTTATTGCAAGCAGATTGGACACTGGAAAAAGGAATGCCCATTAAAGCCAGAGGAGAAACCAGAAAATAAATGATCCTCACCTTCCCCACAGTGGAGGGATCTGATGATTGACAGGCCGGGGCTCCTTCTCACTTGGCTCCCAGGAGCCCATGGTGACTTCCACAGTGTGGGGCAGCCTGTAGGCTTCCTAATTGATACCAGGGCAGATCACTCAGTACTGCAGACACCCTTGGGCAGTGTCTCTAATAAAAAGGTGGCTGTGCAAAGGGCTACTGGAGCTATTCAAGAACATCCTGTCACCCACTCACGAGAGGTGAGTTTAGGACAGAAAAGAGTAACCCACTCGTTCCTCATGGTCCCAGAGTGCCCCTTGCCCCTCCTCGGATGAGACTTGCTTCATAAGCTGTAGGCGTCCATCTCTCCTCAGCCCAACAAACTCACCTCATGTTAGGGGACACAACGCCCCCTACTGCTCAACCCCTGCTAACCACCCTCTGTCAGAGGAATATCTCTCAGTTTCACCCTCAAAACCGCCAGAGAATAAAACTAATTCTCTCCTACTGGATTTACAGACTCTCTTTCTTCGAGTCTGGGCCGAGTCAAACCCCCCAGGACTGGCAAAGCACCATCCGCCAGTACTTGTAGAACTGCTAGCCACCACCCTGCCGGTTCAGGTAAAACAATATCCTATGAGTCAGCCGGCTAGAGAGGGAATCAATTCCCATATTCAGCAACTATTACAAGCTGGTATACTCACACCATGTCAGTCCGCCTGGAATATTCCATTTTTGCCAGTACAAAAACCCAGAACAAATGATTACCAGCCTGTATAGGACTTGCAGGAAGTTAACAAGTGGACAGTCACCATCCATCCAACTGTCCCTAACCCTTATACTGAGCCTCCTCCCTCCAGAATATATGGTGTACCCTGTCCTTGACTTAAAGGATGCTTTCTTTCCTATTCTTTTGGCCCTCAAAAGCCAATATATCTTTGCTTTTGAATGGACAGATCCTAGCTCAGGAGATACAACCCAATTAACCTGGACTTGATTACCCCAGGGTTTAAAAAATTCCCCCACCCTTTTTGGGGAAGCCCTCCAACAGGATCTTATACCGTCTGAGCCAGTCACCTTAACTGCACTCTTCTCCAGCATGTAGACGACCTGTTATTGGCTACTGAAACTACTGACAGCTGCCTGCAACATACTAGGGACCTACTTTACCTCCTTCAGGAATTCGGGTATCAGGTCTCAGCCAAGAAGGCCCAGTTTTGTCTTCCCAGCGTTTCCTACCTGGAGTATGAAATAAAGGAGGAAAAAAGGGCACTCACCAATGCTTGAAAGGAAGCCATCCTGCAAACTCCCACTTCCACCACTAAGAGACAGGTACGTAAATTCCTGGGGGCCGTGGGATACTGTTGCCTATGGATATTGGGGTTTGCAGAAATTGCCAAGCCCCTGTACACTGCTACTGGAGGGAATGGCCCACTAATTTGGACTGACAAAGAAGAACAGGCTTTTCAAAATTTGAAGAAGGCATTAACTGAGGCCCCCGCTTTTGCCCTCCCAAATATCTAAAAACCATTTCACCTTTTTGTTCATGAAAGCCAGGGAGTCACTAAAGGGGCACTCACTCAGACTTTGAGGCCATGGCGACACCCAGTGGCCTATTTGTCTAAGAGACTGGACCCTGTGACCTCCAGGTGGCCAAGTTGTCTCGAGCCGTGCGGCAACAGCAACCCTCATCCAGGAGGCTGATAAACTGACTCTAGGCCAGAATTTAACCCTTATGGCTCCTCATGCCGTAGAGACTTTGCTATGAAATGCTTCTGGCAGATGGATGTCGAATGCTCACATCGTGCAGTATCAGAGTTTACTTTTACATCAGCCTCATTTAACTTTCTC